GGATTGATGGTGGATGTTAGCTCAGGGCTAATCTTCCTCAGAAAAAAAAAAAAAAGTTGCAAAAGCACACCCAGCATGAACATTTACCATTCTCATCCTTTAAATAGGAACCATCAGTAAACAGTGAAAAATCTGCATTGGTTAGAGGAATTTTCTGAAAATTATTTTTGGGAGTCAAATGGTGATCTGTCACTGTTAAGCAGTCATGAGGAGTTTCATCACTGAAGGAGGGAGAAGAGGAGCAGGGTTGAGGTTATTACAAGGAGAAAGAGTTACGTGAGGAGAAGGGTTTCCTAGGAAGTGAGACGACTGACTGAAAGGTGTTGAGTGTGAGGGGAATTTAGAAGGGCTTCTGCATGGGGCTCAAAGATGGTTCAGGGGGATTCTATGACTGTTTCTTCGGTGGCCTTAACCAAAAGGGCAGTGGCAGGAATGGCTCTAAGACAAGGGTGCTACCCTGGGGCCATAGGATCCAGTTGTTGGCTGTAATACCCTTTGGGTCAATGATGGTCCCCGTGTTTTTGGGTGAGTACTTCAAGGGCATTCTCGTCCGTCTCATCTACAGAGAGGAAAAAGGGAAGCTGATTTGGCTCTCCAAGGGCAAGGAGCTTTATTAAGCTTCTCGTCAAGGTTCCAAAGGCTGTGTCATCCTGATCTCCCCAAATAATACAGTCAAGTTTGTTGGGTTTTAGTCATACATAGCGGCTAGGCCCTAGGAGAGAAATTGGGAGATAGCTAGCTCAAGAAAACCTTGTAATTGGCACTTAGTTTTAGGTTTTGGGAAGTTCAGGATGCCATAAAGCCTGCCTGAATCCAAATGTTGTCCTTGTTCTGAGATCAGATCCCCTGAATATCAAACCTGAGATGGAGCAAACTGCAATTTTTCTTTGGGAACTTTATGTCCCTTTAAGGCCAAAAATTTTAACAAGTTGATGCTGGCTTCCTGTGAAGAGGTTTGAGAGGGGGAGCACGGAAGCAAATCATGTATGTGTTGTAACAAAGTAGAGCCTGCAGAAAACTTTGTCATCCAGATCAGCTTTTAAGGTTTGTGAAAAGAGGGACTTTCTGTAAAGCCCTGGGGCATTGCCCTTCTTCCCAAGTGAAAGCAAAAAGATATTGGCTAGTCTTATCACCTGGAGTACTAAAAAATGCACGGCATAGATCAATTATAGTGAAAATTTGCTTTCAGTAGGGTAGGAGTTTAAAAGCAACAGGGTTTCGAGGGATAACAATGTTATTTATTGCTCAGAGGTCCTGGACAAACGTCTGTCTCCAGCCATTGGGTTTTCTCACAGGTAAGATAGGGTATTACAGGGACTAGTACAGGGGATAATGTGGCCCTGGGCCTTGGAATTTATTATGGGCTTGATGCCTTGAAGAGCTTCTTTATTTATAGGGTATTGATTAGTTCTGGGGAGAGGTTTTGAGGGCTATATTTGAATCTTGATGGGAGGTGCATCATGGATTCTGCCAATAACAGTTGAAGATTTTGCCCATGAAGAGGGTGGTGTTGAATCAGTAGAGACAAATGATCAGTGTCCCTAGACTCAGCTCGAGTGCCATCAGAGATGGAGCAAATAGAAGATGTCAGAGAGTCATTTAATTCACCTGGTTGGCTATTTTGATTGCTATTGTCAAATTCTAGAATTGTTTCCCTCTTTTGGGAGAAAGAAATTCCAGCATGATACTTTTCTAAATCTCGGCCTAATAAATGAATAGGGACAAAGGAACTAAGGAGAAACGGACGAGTGTCTCTCAAAGGGCCTAAACAAAAGGGAATATGTTCAGAGGCAGGAAACTGTTGAGGTTTATTAGAGACCCCCACTATTTGAACCATTTTAGTGCTCCAAGGCAAGGGCTGCTGTGTGGCACTGAGATTGAGCACTAAGAATGTAGCTCCGGTGTCAGTAAGGACGGAGGGAGATTTATTCCCAATCTGGAGAGTTCTTTCTCCGAGCTGATTAAGAGGGAGGATTGGGAGGAGCCCCGTCGGTGGGAGTAGGAGGATATTGGAATGGCCGGCTAGAGGCCTGAAGGCGCCTGGAGTGCTTAGGGTTGTAAGAATCTTTTTTCCAATGCCCCTGGCTTTTTACAATAATAGCAGAAACCAGGAGGGTTTTGTTTTTGTTTAGGGGCCTCCATTTGTGGGAGTCGAAAATTAGGAATTTTGGTGGTCTTCCTTTTAGTTGAATCATCTAGGGTGTGAGCAAATTGATTTGCCAAATTCCATTCCATCCTGGTCCTTTTAACTCAAAGAAAGATCCCAGTTCAGCCTGTTAATAAACGTGGAGTTAAAGCCCAACCGAGTGGATTCAACATCTAAAGGAAGATCAGAATTTTCCTTAAACACAGTTTGGAGCCGATTGTAACAGTCATGAACAGAGTCTTTAAGTTTTTGTGTGCTAGCCGTCTGAATTTTGCTCCATTCAGCAGACTTAGGAAAAGCTACTGTAATTGCTCAGTGGAGTTCTCCAGCGTGTGTTCTAGCATTTTGCCAAAAGTTAGGGGTTTGTTTTTCTAAATCCCTTTCAGGATGTTCTCTTCGGGCAAGTTTCATCCAGTGTTGGGCCTGACCCTCACCAACAAGCACGTGGACTAACAGCGTGTGATGTAAATCTGAGAAACCAGGTTGGTAAGTTTGAACAACTGTGTTAAATTCTTCAGCAAACCTATGGGGGTCCTCCTTACTTTAGGGAAGTCTTTACTGTGGCTCACAATGCGGCCTTAGTCCAGGGAACATAAGAAGTTTGGGGTTTATTTGGATCCTCAGAAGACTTCTGCCACACGTCCAGGGACAAAGAAAATGAGGGAGGGAAAGAGAAGCCTCAGTAGATGTTTTGTTTTTCTTTAATTGTTTGTTTGCCTCAGTTAATCTAAAAATTGCATTTTGCAAAGAGACAATTTTAGAATGCTGTTAACATTGGAAGCCTCAAGATACCAATCGAAATAGGCATCCCATTCAGTTTTTCCAATTTTAGAGCCATGGCTGTCCAATTTAGTTTTGAGAAAAGTAAGTTTGGGGAGGTGGAAAGCTCCCCGTAATGGCCATCGGTGTTCTAAATTACGTTTGGTTAACTCAGTCCATTTAGTTAGAAATGTACATGAGGAGGGACCCCAGTTTTTAAATAGAAAACCAGCTGGGGTCCCTGAACAGTGGGGGGCACCCTCAAAGCATTTAGATGACTGGGATCTCATTTCTCGGAGGTTTTTCTCTAGAACAAAAGAAAAATTCCTAAACAGCCTGATTCCTTTGGAATGCTAGCACACTTCCAATAGAAATTATACCAAACGAGTACTCACAAAAAGGAAAACCCTTTCCAACAGAAAGGACGAAGGCTTTAGACAGAAAAGCCAAAGGCTTTATAAAAAAAAAAAATACTGATCTTGAATAAAGCCTGGAGAGCTCAAGACGCAAAGAGCCGAAGCTCACATCTAGGGTCAGTGAGGAAGGAGTGTGATCGACGGACTCAGTGGGTGTGACACCTGTTTGCTTGCCACCCTTGGAGTTGTTGGGGGTCTTCTCTAGATCCCACTTCCTTGGCACCAAGTAATGTTGTCTTAAAAAATGAAACAGCTAGTTATTTTACCAGCAAAATGGGTTTATTCGGGAATAGCAGAGGAGTTGCAATTCGGGACAAGCAAGCTATAGCAAAAACCATAGGCAAGTCCAGCAAACAAAGGAGAGGAACGTTACTTTACGGAGGAAAAGGAGGAAGTTGGGAGGGGTTGTTTTGAACAAAAGTCCATTGGAGGACAGCGAGAGTTCAGAGTGCTGATGGTTTCCCATTGGCTGGGCTTGTTGGGCAAGGAGAATTCTTACTGCTGGAGTCTGTAGATGACATGTTTCTTTTGAGGTCTGTAATTGATGTCCAGTGGCAGTAGATGAGGGCTTCGCCTTCTGGCCTCCCGACTCCACATTCAAGGAGATTTCCTTGATTCCTTTTCATAGTTTTTAGTGTACTCTGCATAGACCTTTGGCAGCGGCTGCTGCGGTCATCTTTGTGTGTGATTAAGAAGGAGAAGTCGTGTGCCCTGCTGTTTACATGCTGAGTAGGAGTGATGTCTTGTTGGTTGTGATTGAGGCTCTTGTCTGAATTTCTTGTTCTCTTTTGAGTTTTTGTGTTAGGAATAAACGGCTGTTTAAATTCAACTACATTGTACTTGACTGCTGCCTCTGTGGGTTTTCCGCCGGGGACAGTTTTTATGAATTGTTAGCTATAGGCTGCTTCAGGTCATGTTTCCTCCCGTCATTCTCCAGGGTACCTATTTTTGATGCTTTCCTTCATTTTGTATATTTTTGTGTTTCCTGCCCCATTAGTTTCATAAATAGATCTTGCATGAGTCTGGTTGATAGTCATCCTTTTTTGCTGACGGACTGACTAACTGCCTTTCTTCCCTTTCACTGCAGTGCTTTCTGTTAGGCTGTGTGCTATGTCTCAGTTGAAGAATTTGCATATTTGTTTGTGTTAGGTAAACATGTCTCTTTCTCCACATTTGGTTGGCAAAATGATATCTTTATAGTCTCCTGACCAGATGACCTTCTGGCTGTATGTATGTCACTGCTGCTCCATCCCCTTGCTCCTTTGGCTTCCTTTTCGTAAACTCTCTTTGCCCTCAATTCATTCAGTTGCTTTATACATTGAACAATGAGAAGTTTGGTGCGTATGCATTTCTCTTATAATTATTATAGCATGTAGTTTACGTTCAATCCCATGTTGGAATAAGTCAGAAAAATTATTTTCAGAAAATAATTTGTATATAATTCATGATAGCTTTATGCTGTCTTTGATAATGAAGATGCTTTGCACTCTCTTTGGTAAGGACCAGCTTTTTTTTTTTTTTTTTAAACATTTTATTTTTCCTTTTTCTCCCAAAGCCCCCTGGTACATAGTTGTGTATTTCTAGTTGTAGGTCCTTCTAGTTGTGGCATGTGGGATGCTTCCTCAGCATGGCCTGATGAGCAGTGCCATGTCTGCACCCAGGATCCGAACCAGTGAAACCCTGGGCCGCTGAAGTGGAGCGCGCGAACTTAACCACTCGGCCACGGGGCCGGCCCCAGGACCAGCTTTTGAGCACTGCCATTTGTTCATATTGTAGGAATGCCATCTGCACAGGGCAGTAGCTGCTTCTTCCTTTTATACTGAATATGACAAACCCATCGTCATCACCCCCCAAACACACACACATTCAGCATTTTTTGTACTTGATATTTTTCAGTTTATGCGTTTTTGAGTGCATCTATAACAGTTTTACAACTAATAATTTTAGAATAATTATAATTTACAGGGAAATTTTACATTCATTAGCTCATTTTATTGTCCAGTAGCGTTATGAGGTATCTGTTATTAATATTCCATTTTTATAGCTGAGAAAACATGTGTGACACTCTCTTATGTTGACGCTTAATTAGACAGCCGTTCTGTCTCTTTACATTACTTGTAAAAAATCTGAGTGCATAACAAAATGATCTCTTTTCAACTATGTGATTTCTATAAATACCTTCTCTTCTTTGTCAGAATTAATTTTTATTATATTTTGGTTTCATTTCCTATGTACTTCTTTTCTCAGCCTGTTTCCGTTTTCTGATCACAGAGCCATTCCCTGTCTTTTTGAAACATCACTAAACTGCAGAGTAATAATGGTGGTGATATTATGCATTTTATAGTGTTTTCAGACTTCTTTCACACCTAAATCTTGTTCTGTCTTCACAACAGTTACCTGAGACAGGCAGGACAAGTGTAAATTACTTGTTTGTGAATTAAAAACCTGCAGCTCAAAGTGTTGGCTCAGGTTGTTTTGTTGTTTACCATCACGTAACTAGGAAGTGTCAGGAACAGGAACGCTTGGCTTCTGTCCTGGTCCAGGCCCTTCCCACTGCCGTAAGACTCTGCATTGTGCTCCCTGATAGAACCTAATACACCCTTGTATCATAGTCTCTCCAGGTTTCTTTCATACTTTCGGATTGCCAACCACTTACTCAGGATCGAATCCAGAGTACCAGTTTCTGTTGTTCCTTTGTCAAAAGACTTCCTGTAGAAAGGAGTTGTCAGCAAGACAGGTCAGTGATTTGCCAGATGCTCTATATCGAGCAGAACAAGTCTTTGAGCAGTTGTGCCCACTCGTTGCTCCTTTGCTTGTGTGCCCATCTGGTAACCTGTGTTGGGACTCTGCCGTCTGTAGATTGGTTTCCTAGGGCTGCGTAACAGATTACCACAAACAGCGGCTGAAAACAACCAGATTGGTGCTCCCACACTTAAGAGGCCAAAACTCCAAAATCAAGGTGTTGGCAGAGTTGATTCCCGTATAGAAGCTCAGAGGGAGAATCTGTTCCGTGTCTCTTCCCTAGCTTTTGGTGGTTGCCAGCAATCCTTGGCATTCCTTGGCTTACAGCTGCATGATTCCAATGTCTGTCTCCTTCTTCATATGGCTGTGTTCCCTCTGTGTGTCTTCCCAAGATGTTGTTCTCTCTATGTGTGTCTGTCTCTGCATCTCTTCTCGGCTTATAAGGACACTGGCCACGTTGGATTAAGGACTCACTGCATTTCAGTGTGACCCCGTGTTAACTTACTTCTTAATTACATCTGCAGATACCCTATTTCCAAATAAGGTCACATTCACAGGGACAAGGGGTTAGGACTTCAACATATTTTGTGGGGGGTGGGAGGGGAGGGACACAATTCAACCCACAACAATGTATGTCCTTTTCTTTCTGTCTACTTCTATTCTTTTTTTTTTTTTCAGAGTGAATAGGGGTTTGTTTATTTATTTAATTTTTGTTGAGTTAATGAGAGTTTACAATCATGTGAAATTTCAGTTGTACATTATTGTCTGTCAGTCGTGTTGTAGGTGCACCCCTTCACTCTTTGTGCCCCCCCCCATCCCACCTTTCCCCTGATAGCCACTAATCTGTTCTCTTTGTCCACATTTTTAAGTTCCTTATATGAGTGGAGTCATACAGAGATTGTCCTTCTCTATCTGGCTTATTTCACTTAACATAATTCCCTCAAGGTCCATCCATGTTGTTGCAAATGAGACGATTTTGTTCTTTTTTACAGCTGAGTAGTATTCCATTGTGTATGTATACCACATCTTCTTTATCCAATCATCTGTTGATGGGCACTTAGGTTGCTTCCATGTCTTGGCTATTGTAAGTAATGGTCCAATGAACATTGGGGTGCATGGGACTTTTGGAATTGCTGACTTCAAGCTCTTTGGATAGATACCCAGTAGTGGGATAGCTGGATCATATGGTAATTCTATTTTTAATTTTTTGAGGAATCTCCATACTGTTTTCCATAGTGGCTGCACCAGTTTGCATTCCCACCAGCAGTGTATGAGGGTTCCTTTTTCTCCACAAGCTCTCCAACATTTGTTACTATTTCTTTTAGTTATTTTTGTCATTGTAATGGGTGTAAGGTGATATCTTAGTGTAGTTTTGATTTGCATTTCCCTGATGATCAGCGATGATCATCTTTTCATTTGCCTGTTGGCCATCTGTATATCTTCTTTGGAGAAATGTCTGTTCGTGTCTCCTGCCAATTTTTTGATGGGGTTGTTTGATTTTTTGTTGTTGAGTTGTGTGAGTTCTTTATATATTATGGATATTAAGCCTTTGTAGGATGTATGACTTGCAATTTTTTTTTCCCAGTTAGTGGGTTGTTTTTTTGTTTCAATCCTATTTTCCTTTGCCTTGAAGAAGCTCTTTAGTCTGATGAAGTCCCATTTGTTTATTCTTTCTGTTGTTTCCCTTGTCTGAGAAGACATGGTGTCCGAAAAGATCCTTTTAATGCTGATGTCAAAGAGTGTACTGCCTACATTTTCTTCTAGAAGGCTTATGGTTTCAGGTCTCACCTTTAGGTCTTTGATCCATTTTGAGTTTATTTTGGTGAATGGTGAAAAAGAATGGTCAATTTTCATTCCTTTACATGTTGCTTTCCAGTTTTCCCAGCACCATTTGTTGAAAAGACTTTCTTTTCTCCAATGTATGCCCTCAGCTCCTTTGTCAAAGATTAGCTGTCCATAGATGTATGGTTTTGTTTCTGGGCTTTCAATTCTGTTCCATTGATCTGTGCACCTGTTTTTGTACCAGTACCATGCTGTTTTGATTACTGTAGCTTTGTAGTATGTTTTGAAGGCAGGGATTATGATGCCTCCAGCTGTGTTCTTTTTTCTCAGGATTGCTTTAGCAATTCGGGGTCTTTTGTTGCCCCATATGAATTTTAGGATTCTTTGTTCTATTTCTGTAAAGAATGTCATTGGGCTTCTGATTGGGATGGCGTTGAATCTGTAGATTGCTTTAGGTAGAACGGACATTTTAACTATGTTTATTCTTCCAATCCATGTATATAGAATGTCTTTCCATCTGTATGTCGTCATCCATTTCTTTCAGAAAAGCCTTGTAATTTTCATTATATAGGTCTTTCACTTCCTTAGTTAAGTTCGCCCCGAGGTATTTTATTCCTTTTGTTGCAATTGTGAATGGCATTGTGTTCTTGAGTTCTTTTTCTGTTAGTTCGTTATTAGAGTATAGAAATGCAACTGATTTTTGTAAGTTGATTTTGTACCCTGCAACTATGCTGTAGGTGTTGATTACTTCTAAAGGTTTTCTAATGGATTCTTTGGGGTTTTCTATATATAAGATCATGTCGTCTGCAAACAGCAAGAGTTTTACTTCTTCCCTCCCTATTTGGGTTCCTTTTATTTCCTTTTCTTGCCTGATTGCTCTGGACAAAACCTCCAGTACTATGGTAAATAAGAGTGGTGATAGAGGGCATCCTTGTCTCATTCCTGTTCTCAGGGGGACGGTGCTCAGTTTTTGCCCATTGAGTATGATGTTGGCTGTGGGTTTGTCGTATATGGCCTTTATTATGTTGAGGTAGTTCCCTTCTATGCCCGTTTTCTTCAGAGTTTTTATCATAAATGGCTGTTGGATCTTGTCAAATGCTTTCTCTGCATCCATTGAGATGATCATGTGGTTTTTATTCCTCAATTTGTTGATGTGGTGTATCACATTGATTGATTTGCGGATGCTGAACCATCCCTGTGTCCCTGGTATGAATCCCACTTGATCATGATGTATGATCCTTTTGATGAATTGCTGAATTTGGGTTGCCAAAATTTTGTTGAGAATTTTTTTTTTTTTTAAAGATTTTTTTTTTCCCTTTTTCTTCCCAAAGCCCCCTGGTACATAGTTGTATATTCTTCGTTGTGGGTCCTTCTAGTTGTGGCACGTGGGATGCTGCCTCAGCGTGATTTGATGAGCAGTGCCATGTCCGCGCCCAGGATTTGAACCAACGAAACACTGGGCCGCCTGCAGCGGAGCGGGCGAACTTAACCACTTGGCCACGGGGCCAGCCCCATTGTTGAGAATTTTTGCATCTATGTTCATCAGAAGTATTGGCCTGTAGTTCTCCTTTTTCATGCTGTCCTTGTCAGGCTTTTGTATTAGTGTGATGTTGGCCTCATAGAATGTATTACGAAGTGTTCCATCCTCCCTAATTTTGTGGAATAGCCTGAAAAGGATAGGTATTAAATCCTCTCTGAAAGTTTGGTAGAATTCCCCAGGAAAGCCATCTGGTCCTGGGGTTTTATTCTTTGGGATGCTTTTGATTGCTGTTTCAATCTCTTTCCTTGTGATTGGTCTGTTCAAATTGTCTGCTTCTTCATGACTAAGCTTTGGGAGATTGTAGGAGTCCAAGAATTTATCCATTTCCTCTAGGTTATCCATTTTGTTGGCATATAGTTTTTCATAGTATTCTCTTATAATCCATTGTATTTCTGTGGAGTCTGTTGTTATTTCTCCTCTTTCACTTCTGATTTTGTTTATTTGCGCTCTCTCTCTTTTTTTCTTTGTAAGTCTGGCTAGGAGTTAGTCAATTTTATTTATCTTCTCAAAGAACCAGCTCTTTGTTTCATTGATCCTTTCTACTGCCTTTTTTGTTTCAATAGCGTTTATTTCTGCTCTGATTTTTATTATTTCTCTCTTTCTGCTGACTTTGGGCTTTGTTTGTTATTCTTTCTCTAATTCAGCTAGGTGTAGTTTAAGATTGCTTACTTGGGATTTTTCTTGTTTGTTAAGATGTGCCTGTATTGCAATGAATTTTCCTCTTAATACAGCTTTTGCTGTATCATTGGGTATGGCATCTTATCATTTTCATTTGTCTCCAGGTATTTTTTTATTTCTTCGTTAATTTCTTCAATGATCCATTGCTTGTTCAATAGAATATTGTTTAGTCTTCACATCTTTATGCCTTTCTCAGCTTTTTTCTTGTAATTAATTTCTAGCTTCATAGCATTATGATCAGAGAAGGTGCTTGTTATTATTTCAATTTTTTTAAATTTATAGAGGCTTGCCTTGTTTCCCAACATACGGTCTATCCTTGAGAATGTTCCATGCACACTTGAGAAGAATGTGTATTCTGTTGTTTTTGGATGAAGTGTTCTATATATGTCTATTAAGTCCAACTGTTTTATCTTTTCATTTAACTCCACTGTTTCCTTGTTGATTTTCTGTCTGGGTGATCTGTCCATTGATGTGAGTGGGGTGTTGAAGTCCCCTACTATTATTGTGTTATTTTTGACATCTTCTTTTAGGTTTGTTAATAGTTGCTTTATGAACATTGGTGCTCCTGTGTTGGGTGCATAGATATTTATAAGCGTTATTTCTTCTTGACAAAGTGTCCCTTTGATCATTATATATTGGCCCTCTATGTCTCTCTTTACCTGCCTTATCTTGAAATCTGTTTTGTCTGATATAACTATTGTGACACCTGCTTTCTTTTGTTTGCTATTAGCTTGGAGTATTGTCTTCCACCCCTTCACTCTGAGCCTGTGTTTGTCCTTGGAGCTGAGGTGTGTTTCCTGGAGGCAACAAATTGTTGGGTCTTGTTCTTTAATTCATTTTGCCACTCTGTGTCTTTTTATTGGAGAGTTCAATCCATTTACATCGAGGGTGATTATTGATGCCTGAAGGCTTAATGCTGTCATTCTGTCACTTGCTTTCTGGTTTTCCTGCATTTCCTTTGTTTCTTGTCCTGTGTGTTTTAGCCTACCCATTTA